GGGTTCTGACAGCGCGCAGCAAAATGTCCCTGTTGAGCACAGCGCCGGCATGCAGTTTTTGGGTCGATGTGTCCTTGTGACGGCTCCATATTTGTGGGTTCCATAAGTCGATGCTGCTCTCGAACGGGACCGGTACCCGGCGGTAGACTCTCGAGATCCTCAGCCATCTCCAATAGTTCTCTCAACGTTATGAAATCCCGACGGCGAATGTACCACAGACTCGGGTAACGCGTTCCGGAAGATCCGTTCTAGTTTCTGGTCCTCACTGTAGGTGGTATGCCGCATGAGATTCTGCATACACAGGGTATAGGCTTTAAATGTCTCACGATGTTTCTGCTTCCTTTTCCTTATCTCATCCTCCAGTTGCTCGAAGTAGCGTGCCGGCAAGAAAAAATGAAGAAAATCCTCTCGAAATGATGTCCACGACGGCCAATGTCTATTATTCGCGCGAAACCAGATCAAGGCATTTTCTCGTAAGACCTCTGGCATCATTCGGGGTAATTCATCCATGTCCACCTCGTACATGTGTGCCAACTCTTCTAGTCGTTCCACGAACTCCAGAGGTCCGCGTGTCCCGTCATAGGTTATATTCCATTTTCGCACCTGATCCGCCACAACCCGGGGGTCTCTGACGGCGGGAACATCTGGTTTATGCAATATTGTGGTCCTTCCTCCAGTCTCGTTAGCCTTTTCGGATCCACCTTTCTCTACACTTGGTGTAGGCGCAGAGGTAATGGAGATGCTGGGTGTTTTCATTGGAGTGATGTATTTGGCCTCCTGGCTGGTTGAAGGTCTCTCATGCCGCTCTTGTAGTTCCAAAAACCGATCCAACTGCTCTTGCGTGCACTCGTCCGATAGCAGCAGAGCAAACCTTCTTCGAAGTTCATCCACTGTTCCTGTTGTTTGACATCCAAATTCCTCCAAATACGTCAATAAATCTTCCTTACGCAGCGTATACGCCCATGAGACACGTAATGAGGGATTATATAAATAATGTAATGACACAAGTTTCCTCCTGTCGCTGGGGTGAGCTCACGGAGGCCAGGGTCCGTTACAGAAATTTGTAATCTAGTGACTGAGAGAGTAATAACACAGATTGTTTGGGTTTTAATCAAAACTTTGGTTTATTGCTTGGTTTTCGGGGAGTTACAATTGGATATTATTATATGTAGGGTTATGCTTTATTAAAATAAATATGTCCTTGTCGTGGCGTTGTGGGAGACCTGGATAAGTTCTCCACTGGTCTGAGCTGAGAGTTCCGGAGACCTCGATAAGTACTCCTTCCTTGTTCCGGCTCGAGTCCTTTGTGGGAGACCTGGATAAGTACTCCTTCCTTGTTTCGGCTCGAGTCCTTTGTGGGAGACCTGGATAAGTACTCCCCCCTGTTAGCCCTGTTACTAAGTGCAACTACCTATGGGGTGGTTCAAAACTACTTTGAATACCGAGTTATGTCGTGGTCTTAACGGGTCAAATACACCGTGCCCAAGAGTTGCGGACACTTCAAGGGTTCGTAGAGGGTTAAATACGACGGACCCTAGAGTTACGGACACTTCAAGGGGTTCTTAGATGGTTAAATTTCAACGGGCCCAAGAGTTACGGACACTTCAAGGGTTCTTAGAGGGTTAATTCCGACGGACCCAAGAGTTACGAACACTGCAAGGGGTTTTTGGCGGGTTAAATTCCAACGGGCCCAAGAGTTACGAACACTTCAAGGGTTCTTAGAGGGTTAATTCCGACGGTCCCAAGAGCTACGGACACTTCAAGGGTGATAGAGGGTTAATCCGACGGACCCAAGAGTTACGGACACTGCAAGGGGTTCTTGGCGGGTTAAATTCCAACGGGCCCAAGAGTTACGAACACTTCAAGGGTTCTTAGAGGGTTAGTTCCGACGGTCCCAAGAGCTACGAACACTTCAAGGGGTTCTGAGAGGGTTAAATTCCAACGGGCCCAAGAGGTTACGGACACGGACACTTCATGGGTTCTTAGAGTTACGGACCCAAGAGTTACGAACACTTCAAGGGGTTCTGAGAGAGGGAGTTCCAACGGGCCCAAGAGTTACGGACACTTGGGTTCTTAGAGGGTTAAATTCCAACGGACCCAAGAGTTACGGACAAGGGGTTCTTCACGGCGGAGTTCTGACCGAGAGGTTACAAACACTTCCAAAGGGCCCAAGAGTTACGATCACACTGACTCACCTGGTTTTCCTTGTCACCTGTTGTCGTCTCCGCCGTTGTTCCCTGACTCATCCCTTTTCTAACAAGAACTTTCCCTTTTATAGTCGTCAGTCAATTCCTGTTGTTGTAACCCAACTTTTCCTTATTGTCCGTGGCCGCGCATTCTCGTTACATTCGTTTGTTGTTGTCACTTCGCTAGCCTCTATCCCATTGGTCGATCACTGCCTTGTTACGCCGTTTGTTAGTTGTTAGTGTTGCTTGGTCGTCGCCTGTGTTGCTTTGTTTGTTTATTGTTCTATTGTTGCGTTGCGTTGTGTGGCCTTGAGTTGATCGACCAATGAACCTAACGGGCAGCCAACATTTGATGTAAACAACAACGAGGGTCGCTTTCACAGTTTGGGAAATTATTATAGTTTATTAATAAAATATATATAGTTTATATATATTTATAATTAAGTTCATTTTAAATTCATTTTAATTTATTTTAAATTCATTTTAAATTCATTTTAAATTCATTTTAATTCATTTTCATTTATATTAAATCTACTGTGTGGACAAAAACGAGGGTATCGACTTTTGTCGTCACATTAGTACAATCTAACCTGTGACAAGTTTCGTTGAAATCGGATTATATTTGGATATATCTTCCATGTCTATTTTCATCCCATTTTAAGTAAATGGTTCACCAAACTCCTCATGTTTGTAATATTGGCATGAAATTTTGCACAACGTACAAAATGGAGCATTTGGATATCTTTGATATTTGATGTAAATCGATTTACATAATTTTGTCCCATTGTAACAAACGAATGGCATGTTTATGGATTTGATCTAAGTCGGTTCACATTTAGATAAAGGTCACATATATTAGAGTATACAATTTCATGTTAATGGCCCTTCTGTTAGGTTGTATTCGTTAAATATACCCATATAATATACCCATTATTAATTCAGTTCATTTGCGGATTGTCTTCGTATAGAAAATTGATAAACCACCTGCCTTTAGATAAGAAACCTCATCTAATATAAACAACGAAAAAATAATATTTTCATGTCCATGCCTCATTTTCAGTTCAATGTCTACCCATTGTAGTTCTATATTTAAAATGACACAATTTTTGTTTTTGTTTTTTTTATTACATATCAGATAAACGAAAAATTAAAAAAGAAAACAACAGCAACACCAATTAATTAACACATGCGACCCAGAACCGAATTACACTGCACTGACATTGTAATTGAAATCTGTTTAATTGTTCGTTCAAACACCAACGAAAAAAACACAAAAACAATGAATGAATGAATGAATTTCAACAATAAATAATTTGCACATGACTGACAATAACATGTCGCCCCCGGTGCGGGTGACATTTGAGGGCCGGAACTGCCATTAACAATTCAAATAATTAATTTTAAATAATGGTTCGATTTTAATGAAATTAAAAAATAGTTTTTTGCCGTCTTTTTTTCGGAAATTATAGTAAGTGGAATATAAATATTTGTATTTGGTCTTCGTAATATTTTTTTTTTTTTTTGAATAAGTAATTAACCAATAACACTGGGTAGCAAATTTTGTTTTTTGTTTTGTTTGAAAAGGGTAAGTGTAGTAAAAATATGTATATATATATACGTTTTATTATTATTATTTTTTTAATAATTATTTTACAACTTACATTGGGTAAAAAAATGTTCAAGTTTTATAGCACAGCCTTTTCTAAATGTCCTTCGGATTAAAAGGTTTTTAAATATAGTTCTTATTAAATATAGTTCTTCTTGTTACCCTGTGTAGTGCAAATTTGTATGTAACTGCAAATTATGTTTGTAAAAATTCATTATAACAATTGATTAAATTGTTGTTGTTAAATGAATTTTATGTAATTGCAACTTAATTGTGGTAGAATTGTTGACAACAATTATTTTCATTAATTTGAATAATAAATTATTTTATTTATGCCAAGGGGCTATGGATTGCATAGACTGTTTCTAGGGTGAAATGCATTCTAAATGGGATATAAAAGTTAATAAGTAAATGCTACAGTTGGTGGAATCGACACCAACACAACTCCTTTTTTGGAACATAGGGATGGAAAATATGACGAAAGTAATTGTAAGCTACATATGCATAGTCCTTTGGCTATTTGTAAGTCATATAATATTTTTAAAGCGATTCTTTCCAAGAGTAGGCTCGAAAATAAGTCTTCATGTGATTCATGCAAACTACAACCTAGTTAAAATGTTAACAAATTGGCTCTAATTTAACATTTTTGTATCTCGTCTAAGTTTCAAGTACACTTCCCATAACGATACACCCATTATTCGTTATTTTGATAAAGTATTTCAACCGAGTTGGTCATATCACATTAGAAAATTCTCCCACCAAAATTTAATTATATTGGCCGACGGTTTAGTTAGGGCCTTTGTAACGGCATCCCAATTTAGTCATATTTGTCAACGGTCACGCGTCTTTGTCAATATATTCAAGGGCCTAGATCTATTTTTCAACCTTAGTGTAAGTCGTTTTGCATTCCATTTTCTACATCTGTCCGTCAGTTCTTTGAAATCACGATAGGATCGCTATATTTAAGATAGAGCTTTGATTGAAATTTTGCGTTCAACGTATTGCTACAAATCCTATTGCGATATCGATTTGCCGCAAGATCGGTATGAATAAAAAAATATCGATTTTTGCAACACTTGGCTATAATCAAGACTGCACTGAAATATTTGATCTTTCTTCAAAATTGACCCGACTTAAAACAATCCATATGCTATACTGCAGCCTATTATAAACCATTCATTCGGACAGATATAGAGTCGTTTGGTACAATGGGACAAAATTATGTAAATCGATTTAAAGTCAATATCAATCGGGCACCCGTTAATATAATGGAGCCAATTAACACGAAGTATAGGATAGTCTGCATTTCTACAGAACGCAGTTACGCCATTCTATCAATGTTTTCAGTTATGCAAAATTTCATGTCAATCTGACATACATAATGAGTTTGGTTAACCATCGTCTTAAAATCGGAAGGGAGCTATATCTAAATTTGTACCGATTTCAAGGAAACTTGCCACACACTAGGATTTTTATACCCTTCACCACACTGTGGTACAGGGTATCATGTCTTTATGCATATGTTTGTAACAGGTAAAAGGAAACGAGATAGACACATGGTTCCTTTTGAGAATATGCATAGAATCACTTTCTAAGTCGATTTATGCATGTCCGTCCGTCCGTCTGTCTGTGCATGTTAAATTGTAAACAAAATACAGGTCGCATTTATGATCCGAATTGGATGAAATTTGGCATAGGTCACTTTTTCGGCCCAAGGACGAACCCCATTGAAAGTGGGAAAAATCGGTTCAGATTTATATATATATATATATCCCTATATATCTTGCGATTTGCACGAAGTTTTGTACAGCCTAATCATTTAGGTCTAGAATTATGTCTGCCAAGTTTCATGAAAATCGGTCCAGATTTAGATATAGCTCCCATACATAGTTTCGTCCGATTTCATGTAAATGGTGCACCAAAGTCCTTATATATCCTTCGATTTGCACGAAATTTGGCATAATGTACTGAATTGAGCCTAGAGTGATGTCTGCCAAGTTTTGAGAAAATCGGCTCAGATTTAGATATACCTCCCATATATAGTTTCGTCCGATTTCATGTAAATGGTGCCCCAAAGTCCCAATATATCAATCGATTTGCACGAAATTTGGCATAACGTACTGAATTAAGCCTAGAATGATGTCTGCCAAGTTTCGAGAAAATCGGTCCAGATTTAGATATAGCTCCCTTTTACTGTAGATTGATTTTATGTAATTGACGCACCATGGATCCAATAGGCTGATAGGAACAAAAC